CGCCGTTCGCATACCCGATAGCAACTTTCCGGTTAACGTCTAACCGGCACTCGTTGCTTTTACTTCTCGGCGGGAATGTTTAATTGCCTGCCGGTAGTTGTTGGAGACTTTTTCGAATTTGACGGTTACGCAAGGGCTTTTCAAGAAATTGTTCAACGACGGCGAGAATTAGAATCGTAAACCGACGCGTCGTCTTAATGAAAATTTATCGGCCTCCTTTTCGGTATAGGCATTGGGAATTCTATTAATAGACATTTACTGGGAAAAGTATTAAAGGTAGAAATTTTAGGCGGAGGTGAAGAGTTTGTGGTGCCATAAAATGTATTTATTTTCGTGGCTCGGAGTATATATGAGCAACGTATCGGTGTAGTAAATCAATGTCATTTATTAGATAGCGACCGCTGCTAGATGTCTATCAGACGGAGCGATTTACCCAAACTTTCAGGCCCCAGCCGCGAGTAGACATCCATCGAAGTCTTTTTATATTTCTGCCGGTGTAAACAGTCTCGGTTCACGAAACTTCTTTGTCTCGAATTTCCTCGGAGGCGTCGCGGCCTCCGAAATTAGAAAGTTTTAAGGCCTAGACCACTGATAGACGTATATTACGGCTTCTTCAGACACTTCACGTGTCCAGATCCCCTCGTTTCCGTCATAAAATCTTCCATCGCTTTAAAGTCCTTCTCCCTCGGGAGTTATCTCGGACGGGGGTGATCCGAGGCGAGAGCGGTACAAGGAAGTAGTTGCAATTTCGTTATTTCCGGACGTATCAGGCCAGGCGCGCTGCACGCGGATTCGCATCCGAAAATTCTCCGGCCGACTACTTCAAAGAAGTTACGCCAGTTCCGAGAGTTTCGGATGCCCGACGCTGGTCTTTACGCCGTTCGCCCCTTTCCGTTCGCCTTCCGGTCTCCGTCTAGAGAACCTTAAGGCAACCGCTCGAGAGAACTCGCGGTGCCGCGTGATTAACTGGTCCCGACTTTGCCGTGGGTACCTACCTCGTAGGCAGTGGTATCTCTTCGCTGTCCGGCTCGATTTATTTATCCTCCGCGGCAGAATCTCTTCAAGCATCGAACCCGAGCGAAGACGCGAGTCGATAAGAAACAATGCGACAAAGTCGGCCTGATTTATGGACGGGTAGTCGAACGCTCCTTTTCAATCTCCTTTCCATTCGTAATTGGAGCCGCGCTAGAACCGTTTCCTCTTCTTCATCCGAGATACCCCGATACGTCCGCTCTCTAGGAGACGTTTCAACAAAGTGGCACGACATTTAGCAAAACATTTCCCGAGCGTTTATCTATTTCCGTCCGGGAATTAGACGCTAGCCGCTGCCCGAGCCACGGAACGCTACCCGACCGGCCGATAACTCCTCGCCGGCCTAATCTCCGAGCATCGTTCCCAGCCCGTGTGTGCGCTGGAAACGTTTGTCGATCGGCACGATAGCGTCCGAAACTACGACTAGACGCTCGGCCGGGCCGAAGAAAAATCTCGTCTCGGTTTGTACAAATCCTCCCGTGCCCCCGTGCCCGACGGCTCGTCTGCCACGACTTTGTCGTCGAGTTTGGACGGTGTCCAACGGGCGAAGCGTAGGAAGCAGGGGACGGGACGGGTTTTCGAATGGACGGGGATCGAACGCGAGTGTACCTCTGTTTCCGCAATTTAGCAAACGGTGCCGCTTTGTTGGACGCCGCGTCTATTTACCCGTCGCGCGTCGGCCGGACGGTGCTGCGTGTGTGCACGCGCGCGACGTCGAACGTGGAACACACGGTGTCGCGCACACTGTGGACCGAACAAAGCGTGTGAGCCACAAAGTGGCTTCGATTTCGGGAGTTCCGGGTATAGCGGTCGGCACGGTGCGCTCTCCTCGAGGCAACGGCATGACGCACGTCAAAGATGCGAGCGTGTCGGGTGACTGTACTCTGGGTTCATCGTTCTCGGTTATGTAATGTTCGACCGTATGGTGCAAGCGCCTCGACGCTACTCGTGGCGCTAGAGTTGTCGGACGAGAGAAGCACAATATACAGAGGCCGAGCCGCACCGAATCCTCTTCGCTCCAATACAGTAGCCGGGCAGACGGGTCCGTACAGCGATGCACACCGGCGAGAAGGTTGCGCGCGCGAGCGCGCCCGCACAGGCGTCTCTCTTCCTCTCTCTGTCTACGCTTCTCCGTCTGGCAGCTTGAGTATTTCGTTTCTCCGTCGGACCTCCGCCGCGCACCCTCTCTCGCCTCTCTTTCGCTTTAGCGCCCTCGCAGCGCGATATAGACACGACGTTACCGAGCTGAGAACGAAAATAGAGGGCAACGGGAGCCACTGCAGCAGCCGCATTTCTTCTCTTTCTCTCCTCTCTCCCTCCGCGGCTGTTCCCGTACATTTTTTCGTCTTATTCCTCTTCTTTCCCTCTATCTCTCGGTCTGTTTCGCCACCGCCTCGTATTCACGCGTTTCACAACGTTTCACGTGCACCCGCTGAATCCGCTGCTGCGGCGTCCCCCCTCTTCGCCCCGGGCCGGATTATTTTGATTGCTACCACGCGGTTAGGACCGTGCACTGTGGGCGAAGGGGAAGTGACCGGTGATCGACGAGCGGTCGGGGCTCCAGAATTTGTCGCGTGCCTTCCGCCGATGATAGCAGCGCGCGCGGCGCATAAGCCCGGATTGATTTAGGGTTGCTTCAGGGAGGGATCGGGGTGTATTCTTGGTCGAAATCCAGGTTATAGGGCGTATAAATAGGCCCGTCTGGAAATCACTTTTCCGAAGCTGTGGGATTAATATTTTCGATCTTGGCGGTTGTCCGGCGGGGTTCCACGTGATCGGCGACTCGTTATCTAGGTCCAGCCGCTGGACGATGCGTCACCTAGACGGTTTCTTCTTGCAGAAGTTCGAGGCAGAAATTCGTCCGTCGCGAAGCATTTGAGAAAACAGACCGCAAGCGATCGTGCTCATGCTGCTCCATCGAACCAAGGAGAATCGGTTACGCGTCAACGTTGATTCCCTTCGACGAACGATCCTCTTTAGACCGCGGCGAAGACACTTCCGCGAGACATTTGGCCCGGTCTCTTTTATGGGACACAGTGTAGAAACGTTTCAGAGTTGCGAGAAAATAGTTTGCCTGATAGACGATCCGGCGATCGATTGGACGTTCCGGAAATCCGCATGATTTCACGTGGACAGTCTGTGAGGGCTGAAACGATCTTCTTTTAATTGGTTTAGTACGCGTAAGATAAATTAAGAGTGTAATGTGAATAGCTCAGAGTGATCCGTAGATTAGAGGGGATACGTCGCAGTGGGATACCACCAGAATGTGTTCAAGTATGAGTTATTAGTGAATTTTAAATGAAACACGCGAGTGTGAGACGTAAATGGAGGGAAGTCTCTCAACATTCGGTGGACCAAGTTGGGGGGCGGATAGCACGAGCCCTCAGCCACCGGAAACGTCGAGAACGAGGGTGCCGGTGGAAACTCCCAGCCCGGAGAACACCATTTCGGATGATCGTAGATTTCAAGTTAATTCCATCCGAGGTATTCGATGAAAATTGAACTCGTTGTGTATTTAACTGTAACATTATACCGCTAGGACAGCGAAAGAGTATTGTGTTGCTGAAGATATTCTTTATTGACACGTCGCATTGTCTCATTAAAAAGATTCCATTCAGAATATATAATTATAGAAGAACTCTGTTTCCTTTATTTTGTAACTAAGGATAATATCTTTTTCAATAGAGCAATGGGAAGGGTTTCAGTAATCTTTAAGAAATTTCATAGAAATTCAAAACAGGCTTAACGATAGTTTTTATATTTAGGGAATAATTCGTAAACGAACTTTGAATTTTATTATAGAAGAACATAATTGCTTTACCAAAGACTTATTAACAACCTCATTACATCTTTAAACACTTCCAACCCTTGTATAGTGCATGTAAGAAATCTTTATTTAATTCTCCCTTTTATATGATAATGTAATGGGCATAAATTTACACAAAGATCAGAAGTTAATTTACAGAATTTCTACACATCCGTGTACAGTTCATACCGTAGGGATCAATGAATGAATGCGGTCTTTCTATTCGATCGTATCTGTAGTACGGAGCGTCTCACTTCTTTTCCGCCTTAATTTTCCACTAGAAACCGCGGTAAATTTATCGCCCTGTTATCGTACCCCATTACAGCGATACGAAATCTCTGTCGAGCCTCTAACAGACCGTTCATGATGCGTTTAAGCGCAGCGACGGTTGCATCGCAATAGTAACCGCGGTCTAGTATTGTCTTCCAATCGAAAGGTTATCCATAAATATACTATGTGAGAACGACCAATGGTGTGCTGAACTTTGACGAGCTAGTAGGAAGGTGCCAGGCAATGCACCCTTCCTCTTTGATACGCTCCGCTATCGTAAAACGTTGAATCGGTCAACAATTCGCCCAGTCCTGCGAGAGATTAGCCGGATCTAACAATCAACGCAGTCCATGCCTCGTATCATGTAAACACGATATATAAACAGGAAATCTGCATGTTCATATTAAATCATTCAACTAAACAGAAATATTTTAATCGTAATTTCATTAGCAGATTTCCGTTCTCGAATCATGGAAATCTGATTATCCACGAAAGAAGAAAATTGTACTATTTTAAAATTTTGATAGAGCAAAAGTTCAACTTATATTATAACATTCAAGTGATCAACATATTTTGATCAGTACTATTTCTTTTTTACATTTCTCTAGTTTTACATTGCGCAATATACCTAGCCACGTATTAAATAATTTTATCTGCAACAGTCCGTTACTAATTTTTAAATTATATTTTCTTTACTCTTGAAACTACCAAATTAGTCACGCTCATTTTCAAATTTAAACAGCCAATATCACAAAAGCCAATTACCCTCGGATAAGTTTTGTCGAGATAATAATTGAAACAACATATAAGGAAATTAGTAATATTGTGTAACGATTATGCAATAAGCGCGATCGACTCGACTAAAAGTCAATTTGCTTCTGTGTGTTTTCAGCCCAGATCGAAATAATCCCGTGCAAGGTGTGCGGCGACAAGAGCAGCGGCGTCCATTATGGCGTGATCACCTGCGAGGGCTGCAAAGGCTTCTTCAGGCGGTCCCAGTCGTCGGTCGTTAACTATCAATGTCCACGGGCCAAGAATTGCGTGGTCGACCGTGTAAACAGAAACCGGTGCCAGTACTGTCGGTTGCAAAAGTGCCTACGCCTCGGCATGTCCAGAGATGGTGAGTGCATATTACTGATTGGAACCTCCGTTTTCTTGATCGTTCCTCAAGGTGGCGAGAAGTTACATTACTTAGCCTCTTGATACGCATCGGCAATCGGTATGGCTGACGTCAGTTCGCGTGGGCAACCAATTAGTAAATACTTAATCAATTACAGAAGGTTAATGGGGAATGCGATTAACTGATTGCGAGTCGAATTAAACCTTTGAAATGTGAATTGTTCGAAAACATACGTTTTGTTTACATGTTACAAATAGACTACAACGTTTATTGGAATATCCAGTTTTATAGATTCTTTTACACAAACGAGAATAAAGAAACAATTTGTTCCTTCGATTGAAATAAAAATAAAGTAAGAAAGACGTTAATGTTGATGCGAATGTTTCACTAATTCGTTGTATTATACTTGTAATTTGGAAATGCTATTAGGATCTTAGAACCGCGAAGTTAGTTCGTCCGGCTTCGTACTCTTCGGTAGTAGAAGTGGAAGTTTAAAGTGAAAGATCAGCGAGAAGAATACGATAGTCGCGACCAGTGTCAAGCTAATAGTCCCCACCAATGTTACAAAAAATCAACAGCGATATGAAAAAGGAATTTCTTTGTTTCTCCGGTTTATTATCGCGCGTATAGTTACCCGACGCCAGTAACGGATTCGCGCACTGTTTGAGCGCGTAGGAACACGGTATGACACATCAATGAAACATCGACGAACCTGCGAAGTTATATTTCAACTTTCATCAGGCAACTCATTAATCTACCTATGTTCTCACGAACGTACAAAGGGAAAAAGGTTCCAGTCTTCACTCTAGAATAATTCGTTCAATAAAATTATTCCCAGTTAAATCTAACTTCGATTAATCAATTGACTCCGTTTAAAACAATTTTCCAAATCTTTCAATCTTCATCGTAACATAGATACTGTAAATACCTATAATCGATCATTACCTGTTACCAGCTGCAGGAAATGAAAACAAAACACAAGATGCAAATAACAAAATCATTCGATCAACTTCTACATTGTAGAAAAAAAAAAGTACCGTTCGATTGCCTGATGTAGTCTTATATAAACCGCGATTCCGTCGAACAGGAAGTAAAAGGTGTGCCGCGATTGATCGTTGGCGATATGTCGCATTGAACACGTTCATTTCGCCCGTCTCGTCCGGGACGATCAATTTCGCAGATTTATGCCGGTCGCATTACCATGACGAAGTCACTCGTAAACATTCGATTTAGCTGTGCTCGTCCGCGGTTTGGCGCAGCAAATCAGATACACGGGGATAGCGGCTGCCACGCGTGCCGCTCGGGGTGCACGACCCTTTATCGGAGGCTGTCCAGTCCTCCTCTCGACCCGAGCCCCCTCCTGCGTCCCGACACCCCCGCAGGCCGCGCTCTTTCTCGCTCCTCTCGACGCGGCCGAGCCTCTTACCGCGTTGCTACACCTTATCGGACCAAGCCATGGCCTGTCTTAGACACGTTAACGACATTCGTGCGCAGTCATCTATGTTTGATCTTCGACGCGTTAGCAGGTAGCTTTTAGTCCTCTGTGTCGCTTAAAATTCGCGTTATGTACATTGAAAATTGAGTTCTCAACTGAGCATTGGAAATTGAACATGGTACTTGATGAAGATCGGTCTCTTGATTCAACAATTGTGTCTTAATTATATAATAATGTAATTATAATGGAAGACATTAGAGGGATATTTTAGCGAAACAGTATTTTCTAGTAAAATTGAGAGAGTAAAAGAAGGGAGTAGAAACGTATATTAAAATAAAGCTAGAATGTATGACATGTTCTGGATAAAGGTAATTCGAGTAATTATTATTCGAGGATATTTTGCAAATGGAATATTGTTGAAACTTTACTTCAAAAGAGATTTAATATGGAGGAGGAAGTTACCGTTTATTTAATATTGAATGAAAGTAAGAAAAGAGAATATAATAATAATTAAACCAAGAGACGAGGATAGTAATACAAAATGAGAAGGATAAATAAAATACAGTTAAATTCAGTGGAAATCGACGAAAACTAACTTCGTTATTAAAACTCGCGCGGGCTCATCGAAAAGACGTCATTAAATTGTTGAATAAATTCACGTTGACTCAGGATTTTAATTTTAGTCACCTGTCCCGGCGTGCTTTAATATTCACTGTGCGAGTGCAATAATGTTTTATCGATATTTGTTTTCTCTGTGGAATTAACGGCACGAATAATCTGCGTCCTCGAAGTTAATTACTAAACTTTCGGCGCTATGAACAACTTTCCTGGTTTTAATAATATTCAATAATTATTTTGCACAGAAAATTCAACAATTTTGCAATTTTATATAACGACAAGTTAATATCATAATCGAACGTAATCCGAGAATAATTGTAAATTAGCCTGAGCTCCGATTTTGACAAAGCAGGCTTGACCACGAGTTGAAAGAAGCGTATCGACGCGCGGACGAAAATAATCTAATTTCACTTGCCAATGTCGAGAAGAATTTATTCAGCGAGCTTGTCCTCCTGAACAGCGATGTAAAATATCCAGCTCGTTACGATTTCTTCTGTATCGGCCAGCCTGCTGGTCGGCTGTCCCAATTCGAATACATAATTCCCATCGAAGTAGAATTTTATACGCGCGATTGTGGCTGAAAGACGAATTGTCTTTGAAGTGTCCCCGGCGTGCTCAGTAATGTGTACGTATGCACATTGGAGTGTTCTACAGTTTGTTTCGTTCGTTCGTTTCCGTGAGTGCTTGTAAACTTTTTTAATGAACACTCGCCCGGTTTCCAGGTTTCTGCCGTCAGATAAAAAGCTACGTCTGATAAGCAGCAGCCGAAAAGCAGGACGTTGCGGTCGGGCTAGAATAGTAGCTCCGACTGCACTCGATTCGGTGGGGAACGAATATCAAAATATTGAATTAAATCGACGGAATTAGATTGTTATAATAAACGTTGCAACCATGGTTACGATAGCTCCCACAGCGTGTGGATGGGAGAAACTTTTTACTCTTTCGACCCGGTTATGGTTCTCGGTTCAGCTGCAGGTTCGAAATAATATTTGGAAAGAAGTAGATTAAACCGTAGCGGCGTTAACCCTTGCGTAGGTTCATCTTTATATTTTCATGTATATATTCTACAGTTTTACGTCGATTAATGTTTTCGAAATAACGATTCAAGAAAGGTTCTAGACTCGTATCCAATCAGATTCGTTATGAAGATGCCAAGTAGATACGAATGAAAATCAAAATTATTTTATATCTATTATTTTTACTTTATTAACGTTTAAGTTTTAGAGTAAATATACACTTGCAATGAATACACATTTCTATTTTCTATTTGTCAAGTCATTAAGGTTGAAATAAAGACCGTAGGAAACGCGATGAAAAACGATTCGTAGAAAGCAGCGGAGCTAACGGAATCATTTCACTGCACACGCCGATAAGACGCGGTCTCAAACAAGGAAACGGATCCGACCGTCTCGCGCGAGGTGTTTCGAAATATCCTAATCGCGCAGGTTGGCTCTCTGATAATCAGCCACCTCCTCGGTAACTATCGTTCGCGAGTGCTCGATAAGAATCCAGCCTCTCGTCTCTAGCATCTGATGCCACTTATCCGCGCGCTTCCTCCACCAATAGACGGTTTAAAATAACGTTTATCGCTTGACTGATCTAAAATCGGCCACCGAGGCCCGTCTGCGAAATCTGTGGACGGCCACTATCCGAATACTCGAACGACACCGCGGCACTCCTCTTCTCGGTCAGGCCGCGCCGCGCGCGTCGCAATGGTAACGCGACGCTTCTTTCTGGGATCATTGACACCGAATCGTTTGACGGCCTCGTGAGAAGTGAACGATATCGCCTATCGAGTCAAGCACGGGCTCCCCATGGGAATATCATTCTTGAATTTCTTATCATTCACAATTCCCGATTCCCAAGAAAAAAATCCTTTTGGAGTCCGGTTGGATATTAATTGTGATCTAATGGACCATTTTTCGTAAATCGTCTAAACGCTCCTTTGAAATATCATTTTTAAAGCTTATTATCAATATAAACATAACAACGTATTGGAGAAACTAAAATACCTAGCTGAATATAGTCGATTTGTCATTTGGCTTGTGGACTTTTTTGTTCAGAAACATCCCCAATTAACCCAGTATGTAGTATCGATGTAATAATGATAGTTTATTACTGCAAGTAACCTTCGAGGAGAGACAGTGTGTATAGGATCGTGTTTGGCAGGAAAAAAGGTGTCTTTCTACGAAAGATATCTTTCTCCTACCAAACTTGACTTCCTAAGGTTTTTGGGGTAGAAGATGAACTTAGCTCTAGTGCTTAAGATACGACTTAGACTTTGAAAGGATATCGTTGACTAACAAGTTTCCAAGCAATGCTGCCAAACTAAACCGATTATTGGATCTGCGAAACTGCATCACGAGATGAACGGTGATCCATGAATCCCTCTGAAACCCGCAACCCTTCTCCAGATCCTCGCGACTTTGTCCCTGCCCGAAAAGTCAACATTCCCACGAGCAGTCGCTCAACCCCTGGTCCAGGTCCCGGAATATAAAAATACGCTCCGAAAATCCGAGTGTCTAGCGGCTTGGAAGGCACCGCGGCAGAGGTCATTGACGCCGGGATTCGTTCAATCCCGGGAGTGGAGTCGGGCCCACGGTGGGCCACGATACGCGCTCGCTGCTCGCTCCGCTCGTTTCCTCTCTGAAAGGTCTAAAAAGGAATCACCGGTTCGCCTATAACCTAGCCAACTAGACAGGACAGTAAGCGTAAACAAAACAGCGCGGTAACTAATATGTTAGCTGTGATACCCTAATATGCTGACCAATCACCCTCAGCTCTTGAATGTTTTGTTTACCTCCTCGTTAATCAAACTATAACTAGAAACAGGAAAAGAAGAATCGACTAACAAAATCAAAATCCAAAAGGGAATCAAAACTGTCTGGCAGTTAACTTAGGTGTGATACCCATGTATACTGGCCAATCATCATCAGCTCTCGGATGTTTCCTTCATCTCGTTGGTCAGACTGTAGATGCAAATAGAATAAGAATCGAGTAACGAAATCGAAATCTCAAAGGATCGCCTGGCGAGAGGGATCCGGCCCGCGATAATCGCGTTCTTCTCACAAGTCGGGGCGGCCTGAGTCCGGCAGCGAACGTATTTGCGCCCGTTGATAAGGAGCCAGTCATCTCGGCGCAATGCGCGCTCTCGCACACGCTCAACCAGAAAGTGCATCGTGTGCTACCGATGGCGCGCGCATACTCTTCCTGTTGTCGTCTCTCTTCCTCTCTTTACCTCTCATCCGCCGCCCTCCCTCCCATTGTGTCCTCCCTCTCCTCTTTCTCTCTCTCTATCTCTCTGCCTCTCTCCTTCCTATCACCCTCTGTCCGTCTCTCTTTATCTCTGGCCCCATCGGTCGGTTCCTCGCGATCCTCCCGGACCTCTCTGTCGCGCGTCAGCCGCGTTCGGTCGATCACCCTCCGCTTCTACCTCTCCGTCGTTCTCGTGCTCGTCTCTCTCGGTTTCCTCCTCGCGCTGTGCAAGCGCGATCCCGATAGCGGTTCAGCTGGCAGCTGACGTCGCCGCGTGTCCGTCCCTTTTTCCCGCTTCGCGTTTCATAGCGCTGTTTCTCTCTTTCTCTCGCCCGGTTCGCGCTCCCTCTCTCTTTCCACCCTGACGGCGAAGCGTCGCGGCACTGCGTGTGCGTGAAGTCACGCGTGTGTTCGGGCCGGTCGAGATTCGTGGCAGCCGAATCGAATCGCGGGAACGCGAACGGAAACGAGCCGCCTGCGCCCCCTCGCTCGTCGTTTTTCGGGGGTGCGTGTACTGTCTGGGAACCGAGGATCGGGGATGTTTGTTAAAAGGGAACTGATCAATGAATTTAAGATTGAAACGGATCTGGTTTCGGATTGGTTTCATTCAATTTTTAATGTTAGTCGAAGTTTCTCATCTGGAAAATAGGGTTCTGTTTATATGTATATGTCGAGTTACTTAATGGTTTTCTCTAGGGGATGTTTTATGGCGACGATGTTTGTAATTGGAGTTTTGGACATGTTAGGTAATGGATTTTATGAATGATTTGAGCAGTTGGAGCTAAATACTTTAATTTCTTTGTTCTGGTTCCTGAAAATAATCATTGACAATATTCCATTATCAAATTCAATCCACGTTCTCGAAATAACTTTTCTCTGGAATAAAATTTGGGGTAATTTATACTTTTAAGTGAATCCCTGCACTTGCAACTGAAACACTTGAGATCTATGAAGATTAAATATTTAAAATGTATTGCATACATTTATATTCCCCATTTAAGAAATGAATTCCGGAACGATATTTCCGTCCACTTTTAGTATGTAGATTTGGAAACATTGAAACACACCGTACGGTCGATTATTTCCCAAACGGCAGAAGTTCATTTTTCGTGGAACCAAAGGTTTCGATGACAATAGCACGCGGGTAGGAACGTGTCGCGTCTGAACTCGCGAATGAACTTGAGAAACTGGAGAACACGGAAGAAAAAGGAAGACGAACGATTCAGGTTCTAGCGGTTGTTGAACGCTGCTCGCGTGACGTATTATATCGGCGGTGTCGCGCGCGCGCCCGAGTATCCGTGGGTGCGTGCGCGCGCGTATCTGTGTGTGCATGCCGAGTGTTCGCGATGCGGTGACGTCACTCGGATGGATGGGTGCATCTGAGCTGGCGATAACGACGACGAGGCCCGAGATGCAAAGAACTTCCGCGTTCCTCGAATCAGAACATTTCTTTGGGGCGTCGACGAGCCACTTAGAACCGGCGAGACGAGGACGCTCGTGCTTCGATCTTCATTAGCCCCAGTCTTCCGAAGTTTATTGGATCGATACCCGTTCTCCACGGTCCGCTACATGCAACGATGTTCAAAGCGATCTTTGAGAAGGTGAAATTACTCGGAAACGTCGATCCTTATCGTCGCACGTAACACAGTATTGTTTACAGATCGTTGGTCGGATAACCTAATGATCATATTCCACAATCGAACGCGCAGAGATAAAAACAGAATGATCAAAAATTACCAATACGAGTCACAAGTTTAACTGAGCTTCGGAAAGTACTCGAGATCTCTTGTATAGCTATTTTCTTTCTAAGAACATCGGGTTTCACCGTCGACACTTAACCCTAGACACAGAATATTACAATATTACAATGGCACGTGTATATTGGTGACTGAAACGAAGTGATCTCTTTCGCAGCCGTTAAATTCGGACGTATGTCGAAGAAGCAGAGGGAGAAGGTCGAGGACGAAGTCAGATTCCACAGGGCACAAATGAGAGCGGCCTCCGAGACGGCGCCCGATAGCAGTGTCTTCGAACACCAGACACCGAGCAGCTCGGACCAACACCATCCTTACAACGGAGGGTAAGTGCGCCCAGTGTACCCGTGATGTGTCGCGGCAGAAATAATCTGTATATCCTGTAGTATCGCTTGACAATGGTCCGCTGCTTGGGTCCAGCGGCGAACACACGCCGAGACGTTTTATGATTCGTGGCTCGGTACTATCTTGCCAAACGATGAACAGAAATGATGCCCGTAACGAGAAAATACTGTGCTTTTTAAGTGAATAATCACGCAAGAAAGCTGCACACGGATGTATGACGCGACCCTCTAACGTCGCCTCGTTTCCTTTTGATTAGGTACACGTATGGCGGCAGCGAATACGCTTCCCCCGGCCCCGGAACAGGTGGATCGGGTTATTACAATCATCAGGCGATGACGAACTACGAGCTTAGCGCCGACTACGTTGACAGCACGACGACCTACGACCCACGGCCGACGCAAACGCAGGTCGCGGACACCGTCGCCCCTGATACGCCCTCCGCTGTCACCGCGACTGGGGTTCTTCCCAGCGTGGTTACCACCGGTGAGTACTTTAGTCGACGTTTATTGGCGAGCCGTGCTTACGAGGAGTCGGGTGTCGGGGTTGCTTCTCGTTTTTCTTCTACTCTTATCTGTCGGTGAAAAGGCTCTGGTAATCGAGGTGGTGGATTTTTGATGCGATGGGAAATTAACGTGGTATTTTGTCATGAGGAATTGGATTTAATGATGTAATAACGTTCGGATAAATTGAGGGGTTTAGTAAGAGGAAATGAATTTTGAAAGAGGATGTGGGAAATATAAAAATGGCTTCAATTCAGATTTTATGAACCGAGGTGAATGATCGAATTATCGAAAATTCGATGTGTTACAAAGTTTCAATTCCTTGGACGAAATAATTTCCTGGCGAGAGGAGGTACGACATACAGGTCTGCTTTATTTAAACTAATTCTGATATGAGGATCGTTTATCGATTTCCGGGGATATAGTCAGGTTAAAATTTTCTTGTTATGAATCATTTATTTGATCGTATCTTTAACGGCAGTATAGTGGAGAACATTTTGGAAATATGTAATATTACTTATGATAGACACAATAAAATAGTCTGATATGGCAGCGAGACTTTACGTTTGAATTCTTGGTCGTGGTTACATCAGTTGTTCCCAAAAGGAGGATATTTTATTTCCGGTCGCGCATAAGGTACCGTTCGTTCATAACACCTCGCCACACGCGCGGGTATATTTTCAATTTTGATCGAACGGTATATAAAGTTACGCGACTGGCAGACAAAACTGAAGTAGTGCCAAGTCGAGAGTTTATAGTTCCATTAAAGTTTATTGTTAGCGAAGGAGCGGTAACAAGATGTCAATCGATGAACAACCAGCGCCAAGTAGTACTGGTCCCTTTCAGCGCCACGCGGCTGATACAATTATTGTGTTTATCACTGCCAGTTGACTGCACCGTGCATTCGGTGAATGATATTGATACTGTTGCTTGAAGTAACATTAGCAGTCATAAAGATACGATTGAATTGCCGTTTGAGAAGTATGCTGGCGTTACGATAAGCGTTTCTTCTAACATAGAATATTGCATCGATGTTGAACAAATTGTGAAAGATTTCCTTTGTGGAATTTATTGGACAAATTCATAATCATAAAGTTCCTTGCGACATCGATAAAAACTTCCGTTCGTCATATTGGAAGATGAAAAGAAAGTTTCTGTACTGGAATGTTCTATTTTAACATGTCAATGAATACTACTCTATATTCAAGCATGAAAATTTGATATCCTTCGAATATTATACGTAATCAATCGTTAACATATAAAAAATTGAGATTCTCGAAGGTCAAAAATATAAATATCTTAATTAGATATTGAAACACTTAACACACTACAACTATTCGAACATCCAAGCAGCACTGTACTTCCAAAGATAACTACCAGGAACCATAAACCACCACACTATCACAATGGTCTAAATGATTTACAACTCGCACAGACTAAAATTATCGCTTCATCAACCAGCTTGCTTCGCAGTCGAACATTCTGAACCCCGTATAATGTCTAATTCACGTCCCAACTGTAACTAATTCCAATCCAGTTTCATCGAATCCAACATATGGTATGTTCGAAAGTCAATCAGTGTCGCTCACGTCTTCCTCTTAACATACACAATTCAACAGAATCTTTATCTCTGAAACTTTGAGTTACTAAAACCATTCGAACGCCATCAGCAGACATAAATCTCAAGTACGAATGCAGTAACAAAATTGCATTATTAAACCAAAAATTCTAATAATACACTTTTCGAATATTTCCAACGAAAATGTAACTCGCGTTGTTTCGCATCTGTCTGTATATACAAATCAATTTCGACGCAGCCTCCAAGTCTTTTTCTGGAGGCGCATCGCTCGAACATGAGAGAAATGCAAGAAAATAAAAAAAGCGACGAAAGAAAAATAATGGTAGAAAAGAAAGCTCGGTTCGAGTGAACTTTGACTTTTCGCGTGAACCAGGAAAGTCGCTGTCTGCCTCGACGACCGGAAGCAGCACAGGGGGTGGTGGTGGAGGTAGTAGCGGAGGCGGTGGTAACGGTGGTGGATCCGGTGGTGGTGGTTCGGGTGGTGGAGGGAGCGGTTCTGGCACCGGCGGCGGTGCGGCCGCTGGCGGCGGCGGTGGTGCCGGTTCCCTGAGCGGGGGTGGGATCGTTGCTGTCAAGCAAGAGACCACCGTCGAACTCGCCAACCTGGGCCACGGCTCGTACACGATGGTCGACTCGACGACCTTTCTGAGCGGTCAGCAACAGAGGGTCAGCAATCCATCCGAGGACGACGAAGTGCCGAGTCTGCCCAGTATGTCCCATGCGAGATGTGAGGTTACGTTTGTGTCCCTTTGCATGGGCATGCCAGTGCGCTTCTCTTCTCTCTTTCGTTTCCTTTCTTTTCTGTTTCCTTCTCTTACTGCGCCGCGTGTGCCTCGCGCTGTCATTGACAATTATAAGCTATTTTCTCTTTCTATGTTTTTCATTTTCATTGTTTTATTGTTCTCATTGCGTCGGAGTTTCAACTGCTCCGGAAACACGTTTTCTGATGACAGATGTGATTTTCTGAAAATTGGACGATCCGAGATGAGGTGGTTGATATGATTGAACACGATTATGCAAATTCGTCGAATATGTATTTGAGATATGATTCTAAAAGGATGTGTAAGATTCGGTGGATCGGTATAGAATAAACGGATATTGTTGATTGACTATATTTGAATGTCCTTTAAAATAGCTTTTGAAGTATCAAATATATTAGTAATAGAGTATCGCGATTGATATTAATGTTAAAAATTGAATTGGAAAGGGGTGACTGTGGAATACAGTACTCCACTGTTTCAATGCTTTTATATCCCCAATGAGAATCAGAAGACGTTTTAATTGTGTCATACCGAAATTTCGACGTTATTAACGATTTGGGTGAAGTATTATAACACGGTTTAACGGCGACGCGAATTTAATTAATGTTAACGAAATTAAACCGTAAGTAACTGAGGCGTGCTTCGGGAAGGTACGAATCGGAAGGAGTGAATTTCTGGGCGGCGATTTCGCGTGTTGAAGGGTGGGTCGTATAAAGTTCGTCGACTTGAGAACCGGAGTCAAATGGCTGTACTAACTGTAGCGATAATGTAGTTTGAAACTGCGGCAATTATAGAGATTTACAACGGGCCCGACGATAGGTCTCGGCGGTTCAAATTGGTCCGCGGAGTCTTAAGAAAACGTGTTCCCGCAGTCTGAGTCTCGCCATTCTCGACGATGAAAAGATTCTAAGTGTATTTCAGTGCCAAAACAATTCGCTGATCGCAGTCTTCTGTCTTTTAACGGTCTGTCGCTTGTGTATCACACTGTCTACTAAACAATCGTTGTGCTAAATGTCAGAAATTTGTCTGTTCGTCTACGTCTCGTTCGTTCGTATTCATACGTGGCTGTTTTTTTTTTCTCTTTTTTCTCTTTTTTGAGTGTAAAGTAGTTAGATTTTTGTACATTTCTCAAGAATTTCTTACAATCGTGGATGAATGAGATTTCAACCAGACACTCCTTCTCGTTTTCGTAGATCCAGCACAGATCAGTGAGCTGCTCTCAAAAACGATAGCGGATGCCCACGCAAGAACGTGTCTGATGACGACGGAAGAGATCCAGGAGTCTTTCCGGAAGCCGCACGACCTCTCCAGATTGATCTACTACAAGAACATGGCGCACGAACAGCTGTGGCTCGAGTGCGCCCAAAAACTAACCGCTGTTATCCAGCAGATCATCGAGTTCGCCAAGATGGTTCCTGGATTCATGAAGCTCTCGCAGGACGACCAGATTGTTCTATTAAAGGCTGGTGAGTGATCTGGACAAGCATTTAGGGAACTTTGAATACTGAACAATCGCATTAAAATTCGATACGTTTTAATGTATTCGGTAGGTATATTACTATTAGAAAGTAAATCTCACTTTAGTTGAGAATAAAAATTGATTGTTCCACTAAACGTGAGGATGTAAAAATGAAAATAAATACTTCCAAATTTTATCTACTTTATTTTTCATCTGATTTCATGCAAAAGTAACTTATTTCATTCGAATGAAATAAAACGATGAACTTTTTTAGGTTCCTTCGAGTTGGCTGTGCTACGTATGAGCAGGTACCTAGATCTCCAGCAGAACTGTGTCCTCTACGGTGACACCATGTTGCCACAGGATGCGTTTTACACGACGGACACGGCGGAAATGAAACTCGTTTCTTGCGTGTTCGAAATGGCCAGGAGTATTGCCGAACTGAAGCTCACGGAAACGGAGCTTGCACTTTACAGCGCAGCGGTTCTCTACAGTCCTGGTTAGTAAAATTTATGACACTCCGTTTTCAGAAAAGAAAGTTTGAGGGAATTTCTGTCGTGCACCGTAAAAAAGAATAAAAAGATGTTCCTATTTAGCGACAAATAAAACATTCACTAAATCAAATTATTTAATAATTTCTCCAAGAAGTATTTGTACGTTTCCAATAATTGTAAAAAAGAGATCAGAAATGAATCATTTGATCCGTCTGCTTCTATCCTCAATACTAGGTTTACAGCCATTTATCCTACAGTTTATTTTATCGTTTCTAGAAAAATTGACGTTGGTTTATTTAAATCTTAGTAGTCGGAGGTTAGAAAATAAAGAATCAGGATACACGTTCGTGCAATTACATCAGTAAGAATCGACGTAAATGTTTACCAAATGTCTATAAAATTCAGTATACGTCGAATCGACGCGTTCCGCGAACCTAATGTCAAATACCAAAGATTATTTCGGAAAACCGTATGATCAACAAAACAATCGAAAACGAAATTGCAGATCGGCCAGGATTGAAAGGCCTCGCGGAGGTGACGAGACTGTCGCAGGCGGTGATCAGGGCGCTCAGGTCGGAGTTGGACCGTAATCACGTGTCGCCGATAAAAGGCGACGTAACGGTGTGCGACGCGATCCTGGCGAAGATCCCCCAGCTAAGGGAGATCTCTCTGCTGCACATGGACGCCCTCGCGAAGCTGAAACGGTCGCAGCCGCACCTCGACTTTCCAGCCCTCCACAAAGAGCTTTTCAGCGTCGACAGCTGAACGATCGACGCGGCGGCGCAGGGCGTCCCGACGCTGACGAACAAAGCGGTACGCGAGTAGCGCCGGGCCTTGCTCTGTCAAGGTGAGTTCCACCGTCCGGAAAGGAAACGACGGAGAAGGCGACGCGTGTGTCGACCAACGGTGACGTCGCGGCGACGCTACCTAGGAAGAGAAAGAGAGAAAGAGAGACAGAGAGAGAAAGAGAAAGAGAAGGAGAAAGAGAAAGAGAGTGTGAGAGAGAGAGAGAGAGAGAAAGAGAGAGAGAG